AATATGTCTGCGTTAGGCCCCGTATGCTATTGTGTCTGCGTTAGGCCCCGTATGCTATTGTGTCTGCGTTAGGCCCCGTATGCTATTGTGTCTGCGTTAGGCCCCGTATGCTATTGTGTCTGCGCCTGGCCCCTTATTCTAATCTGTCTGCGCCAGGCTCCATGTGTTGTTTTTTCTGCGCTTGGCCCCGTATGCTAATCCGTCTGCGCTAGGTCCCGTATGCTAATCCGTCTGCGCTAGGCCCCGTAACTTGTTTGCGCTCCACTCGTATCCTAACTCGGCAGTCTTAAGTGGAAGAGCTGTGTGTCCCGCGCTGCCATCACCCTGCGGGCATCTTACAGTCCCCTAGAGACATTGATGTTATGAGAAAGGCGGCCCCAACTAGGTCAACTCAAACTCGTGCTTCCTGGTGGGGTGATTTAAAGTCGCAAATGAACTCCCACTGCCACTAACGTTAGCGTGTGTGGACTCCTGGGATGAACCTGGCCTGGTGGACTGGGCAAACCTTCATTGTTGATGACACCCCTCGTGTGTATGAACTTCCCTTGGAGCAGAAGACCTCAATATCTCATTGTTGTAGTTTATGGCTGAAAGTATGACTTTCCCATCTGTTCGTGTGTGTCTCACGTATCTAATGTTTTTGCATTCTCACCCTTTTCCCACAGGACTGAAGACCTACCTGATCTCCGGGAGGAAGGTCGACTGCTCTCAACACAGTGGGTCCCAGTTTGCCCTGGATGACCGGGACACAGGAGACTCACTTGGCTGCAGTCTTCACATCCCTGGAGACCTTGGTCTGGACCCTACAACTCAAATCCCAAACCTTGCCCCTTCTCCTTCTGAAGACCTCAGTTTTGGAATCCATGGAAAAGCCAAGGTTGGTCAGAGAAGTTGGAGCAAGAGTTGGGTTTGTGGGGTGGTGGGAGGGGCAGTGTGATACAGGTATGTATAAATACACCTCACCAATGAATCAGTGAAATACATGGGGCATGTTAATCATGTCCGTGTGCCCTGAGGTGTCAGTGAACCGAGCTGCAAGCATCTTGAGAAGGATGAGGAGAACATGTCCATAGGGAACTGTTTGGACCTTGTTTGCCAAAATTTGGGAAAGATCTGGCAGCTCTGTGCACCGCAGTATCAGTTGCTAATGCAAACAAGACTTGGAATTCGTGGTGGTTCCCATGTGTGGGTACTACATGGATTCACTAGGCAGGAACGTGGTCCCTCTCTATAGGACTGTAAAAGGGAATCCGCTGGGGATTTGCAGTGCTGGACATAATAGTCGTTCAGACATAATGGATATCTGTTTCTTAGCGAATGGCTTTACTTGAAGTGATGCATGCGGTGAATGCTATTTTATAATGCATGAATTGATCTGTTCATCCTTCTTCAACGTCATTAGCCGGATTCCCACCGAAGTTCAGGAACCTAGCTCCTGGTTTTGAGTTCCTGGGCCACCTTCCCACGACACAACAGGAACTGTGATCTTTACGCTTAATAAGCATGGGAGGTGCAGAAAATGTGTTGGTTAAACCTCACATGTGATTTCAAATGAAACTACTCCATCACCCCATAAGGAGGATTGTGTTTATAAATCATTTTCAACTCTGGCTAGCAGATCGATCTTTCATTTCCCACAGAAAAAAATGGTGTAATGTTATCCTGCTGATATGCACCAAGTTTCACTGCCAGCACCAGCAATATTAGACAAAAGTATATCGTTTATCAAATTTTCCACTGCAGAAATATGGATATGCAAGCATAAACGTATTCATTAATGTGTAAAATGTAATTGATGTACAAAAATAATTTAATCTGCTTCATTTTCACTCCACTACTTCAATCTCTTTTCCCTGCATAACTTCCAAGTCCCGGTGCTTGTGGTCAACCAGTCAGCAAAGTCTATTGCTATAAACCCCATTCAGTAGTTCTTAGTCGAATGAAGATGGATTAAAAAATGGTTCAGGAACTACCTCTGAGGAACTACAATCGAGTTCCTGGGGTGGGAATGTGCCTTTTTATGCCTTACAGGGCAGTGGAGATCACAGCAAGTATAGGTGCAAGATACAGCAATATCAGCTGATGTTTGTTAGTTAAAAATCAAGACATCAGTGTTGGTCCCTTACATTTCCACAAATTGTGATACTTATAAAACAAGAAAGGTGATGAAATCACCTAAAATAACCTTAAGAACTTATCTACCAATGGAGTGTGTCAGATACATTGGTGGTTGCCACGAGTTATATTATAAGTAATGCTGACAAATGCAATGTCATTATTGAGCATGTACACAACATATATCATCCAGCCCTAATATAGATGATTGCGCTGGATGATTAGCGATTTATTTACTTCATCAGCTCAATCACCGCTTAGAGCCTCGCTACAGTCTCCCAGGTCGGTGTTACATCCCTGTCGTCTCGCTGTCCGCGTTGTATGATGCGGTCGATACACACGTTCACAGGATCTTAGGAAGTAACGTCACCAACACCAGCTTCTCTACAGATCAGTGGAGAAAAATATAGCAGTTATCGGTGTAGTTTAAACTTTTCACATCAGTGCACCAATAGACACAAGACAAGGGCAAGACAGACACACACACACACACACACACGAGTTAACCTATCTGCATGTCTTTGGTCATTGAAAAACATGCCTATGTCATTTCCTCAAGCACTACTCCACCTGCCAGCCTTAGGCAGCTCTATGTCTTTGCTCCGTGGACTTTGTTTGTGGCGTGAGAAATGATGTAATGCTCACCTCCCCGCCGCTCACTTCCTGTAGCCTGTCTGCGTTGGGGGAGATCTGGAGGATCAGTCTGCGGAGGGTGGGACCTTGCAGAACGGCTGTCAGGAGGAGCACAAGACCCATGCTGACAAGGTAAAATAACAGGCTCTCCATCAGCAAGTGGTTCAACCCCCTTCCCCTTGGGTTACTTTCTGTGTTAATTGGATTAGGACTGTTGAGTGACAGCACACAGTAGCCCCGCCCACTATAGGCGATTTTATGGCTTGGTTATCAGGCTCATCTGCCCTGCGCCCTCAGGTGTCACCAGGCCAGAGCCCCAGGACCCTCAATGGCTTGCTGAGCCCCCCCAGGGAGGAGGCCACAAGCAGCAGCCGGAGCTCACTGTGCGAAATGCCACTGGAGAAGGGAAAGGCGGGGGGTCCCATGGAGCGATCCACCCTCATCCAGCTGCACACCAAGAGCAACCACAAGAAGAGCGACACCCACTTTGTGGAAGCCGTCAAAGAGGATGGGTGAGCAGGCAAGGCGGGCTCTCGCACAGCTGCCAGACCCGGCATCGACCCGGTAACAGCCGGCTGGGCGGCTGATGGTCGTCATGGAGATGACGTTTCCTTCGTGTGTGTTCAGTTGTAAGCATGCAGGGATTGGTCTGTTCAATTTCCTGGTAGGGTGCACAGTTATCAAAAATAATTTTGGGGGTGCAGATGTAATACTGGACGAGTGGGACAAGATACGTATCCCGTCACAGTCTTTGTGTCTGTTATCGGAAGGTTGCCGGTTCGAGTCCCAGTCTTGGCAGAATAGTCACATGTCAGTGGGCCCCTGAGCGAGGCCCTTAACCCCCAGCTCCAGGGGCGCCGCATGCTGGCTGACCCTGTGCTGTGGCCCCCAACCTTATTCTGACCTGTCTATGTGTCTCATGGAGAGCAAGACGGGGCAGGCAAAAAGAGAATTTCCCCACTGCAATTAAAGAAGTATCACTGTTCTATTCAATACTTCACTATCCATTTCCACCTTCAGTCTGATGAAGAAATACTTCTTCAAACCTCCCATCAACAAGCTGAACCTTAACTTCCTGGAGCCATCCCTGGAGTCCGCCTACAGGAGCAGCTACCAGAAGGAGGTACGTAGCCATGAGTCTTCTTAGCCACTGCACCAGCCGCTGCCCAGTCACACAGCGGTGCATGTGCTCGGAGGTGATATCTAGTTGTTTGCTGCTCAGATTCTCCCATTAACTTGCACTGCCCTCTGCTGGTGGAACTTATGTATGACAGTGCCCGATGTTCACTTTCGAGGTGAATGGAGTGTAGTGACCATCCTCCTCATTTCATTGATGCCACTGAGAATATTATCCTAGTTCACATAAATGTATCGTTTTTAATGACACTTGTTTTTCTGATTGATCATTTTACTATTTTTTTCTCAGTTTAAGATGTAGCATCATCTTGGTTTTCTAGCTGGTGAGATGATTAATTCACCTCCAGTTACTAATTAAATGTGAGATAATTGTGTTTTCCTGTTTTGGGGATTGGGGGTTCAGTGTTTATGTCTGACTTCTGGTGACAAGGGATCACATTCAAAACCCAGATGACTGAACACAATACCTGAATTGCTTCAGCTGCATAAATGTGTGCAGTCCTGTGGTGCATCATGTGACAGGTCATGTGTTGAGTCATGTGATGTGGTGGGCTGTTCCCTGTGATCAGGTGGAGATACTGGCACGTGTGTGCACCTTCGCCAGCCCTGCCTTCAGCTCCTTCCTGGACGTGCTGCTGTCCTGCGTGGTGCTCCTGGCCCTGGAGATGGCTTGCTTCTTGCGTCCGCTGCTCAACGGAGAGGCCCCTCCCACAGCCGCCCTGCTCTTCGCTGCCCCTGCCTTACTGGTGGGGGCCCTTGCCCTGCTGCTGTCCATTCGGTGAGAATGGGAGGATAGAGGCTCAAAAGGTGCTTTCACACCGCAGGAACGTTTCTCCGGAACCAGAATGTTTTTCCGGAACCAGGGACTTTTGTCGTGTTCACACCACCGGAGCCCGGCCCAGTTGTCGCTCCTCACAGGCAGTTCTGGACTAGGTACTTTTTGTTCGAACACGAATCACCGGGGAGGAGTTCACGGCCATAGCTTGCTGATTGGGTGACTACAAGCACTGTCACTAAAACTTTGAAGTTAAGCAGACATGTTGGGAAAAGATGTAACGATTGAGCAGATGGAATTATTTTTGCACTTTGGTTACATTTAATGAAAACATTTTTTGCTTGCATCTCTGTATTTCTGCATTGAAAAAATAAATCCATAAATACCAATATACTTTTGTCTAGTACTGCAGGTGCCAGTGGTGACAATTGTCAGCGTTTATTAGCAGAATATGTATTTTATTTTGTGAAACCGAAAGATCGATCTGCCAGCCAGATTTAATAATGAAATATAAACATGCCACAGGTTGTATAAATAAACAATAAATGAAAGGCTGTGTCCCATTTTGATGGCAATCGATCCCCCCAGTAACTAGCAAGTAAGTAACAAAGCGACTTATTATCCCTCCATTGTTTTGCTGTGGTAGTGTAGTTTCGTAAGAAATTGTGTGTGAAGTTTAACCTACGAGCTTTTTGCGTCTCCCGTGCTTATTCAGCTAAAGGTCACAGTTCCTGTTGTGTGATGTGAATGTGGCCAAGAGCTACTAAAGTCCCTGGTTGAGACAGATCAGGAACTTGTAACAAGGCACCAGGTTCTGGAGCTTCGGTGTGAAAGCGCCTATGGAGATGCTGGGGCTGGGGGGGGGGGGTTGATTGTAGTTGTCAAATATTCTTTATATGTAGAAATTTTATTCTAGAAAATAGAATTAGAAGTTCCTAGTTTCAATCCTAATTAAACTATAATGTGTTCCCTGTTTCAAGAGCATTTCTTTTCTCTCTCTTCTCTCTTTCACTGGGCCCTCCTGTCTGTCTTCCAGCATGGCGTTCTGCCTGGACCAGGTGTCGAGTCAGACTCAAGCCCTGCTGGCTTTTCTCTCCGGCTGGGTCCCGCGACACCTGGCTGGAGCTGTGCTGGTGTCACTGCCGGCTGTGTCGGTCTTCACACACGTGGTCTGCAACTCCCAAGTGCCCATACAGGTGAGGGGGGGTTAGAGCTGTACATAC